TGATTCCGTTCGGAATGGGGGGAAGATGTCCAGGGGAAGGACTTGCCGTGAGAGAGTTGGGTCTGGTTTTGGGTACTTTGATTAGAGGTTTTTGGGATTTATGATAGTAACATCATACCCGTGTTTGGATCGGTATATCCATGCACTTGATCTTACCTTTCTGTTAAAACGATGAAACAATGTTTTGGGGTTGTTGGGATTTATAGTGCGGTTGTTACATATGCTTTTGGGATTTACAGTGTGGTTGTTACATACGATGAACCAATGTTTGGGGGCTTATTGGCTTTACTGTGCGGTTATTATGTAGTTTACAATGCAGAAATCTAAAGAAATTTGAAAGTTGTTATGTAAAGCCCAAATACATTTTTATTCTTCCCCCTCTTTCTGTTATTTCTTTGTTATGACCGTTTATGAAATGAGAATAAACTCATTAGATGACATTTTCCCATGGAAGCGTTAGAAAGGGTTGGACATTTAGCAATTTGTTTCTTAATAACACATGTAGCATCATTTATGGATCCGAGACTGATGAGTAATATTTCTCAATGTTGTTTGATATCACATTTAGCTTAAAATTTAAGCTAAAAAAGTTTTTCTTCTAGCTACCCTATTCTACCCTATTTGAGATAGCATTTTTGGCAATTCAGTTTTCTTAGGTAATGTTCACTAATGCTATGTTACTTGATTTAAAATTCTGCCTTTCTACTTTATACATTGTTGCTCAGTATTGCCTAATATTTGTAAGCATTCCTGGAGAATTGAATCATTTTATTAATAGCTAATTATGGCTAAGAACTTAAGAACAAAGAAGCCTCTACTTCGGCTATGTGCGATAAAGATATCACATACATTAGTGAAGGACAAAGAAGATGATTCCGTTCGGAATGGGGAGAAGATGTCCAGGGGAAGGACTTGCCGTGAGAGAGTTGGGTCTGGTTTTGGGTACTTTGATTAGAGGTTTTTGGGATTTCTGCTAGTAACATCCTACCCGTGTTTGGATGGTATATCCATGCATTTGATCTTACCTTTATGTTAAAACAATGAAACAATGTTTTGGGCTGTTGGGATGTACAGTGCGGTTGTTACATATGCTAAATGTTTTGGGATTTAATAGTGCGGTTGTTAGATACAATGAACCAATGTTTTTTGGGATTTACAGTGCGGTTGTTACATATGCTTTTGGGATTTACAGTGTGGTTGTTACATACGATGAACCAATGTTTGGGGGCTTATTGGCTTTACTGTGCGGCTATTATGTAGTTTACAATGCAGAAATCTAAAGAAATTTGAAAGTTCTTATGTAAAGCCCGAATACATTTTTATTCTTCCCCCTCTTTCTGTTATTTCTTTGTTATGACCGTTTATGAAATGAGAATAAACTCATTAGATGACATTTTTCCATGGAAGCGTTAGAAAGGGTTGGACATTTAGCAATTTGTTTCTTGATAATACATGTAGCATCATTTATGGATTTGAGACTGATGAGTAATATTTCTTAATGTTGTTTGATATCACATTTAGCTTAAAATTTAAGCTAAAAAAGTTATTCTTCTAGCT